TTTTTTTTCTGAAACAAATAAATGAATAGTTTTGTTATAATTATTATATTATAATAATTCAAAATTATTAACTTCTCAAAATGACATCTGCAATAGAATAATTTTCTGCTTTCACCTGTGAAGATAAATCTTCTGGATTCTCACATGGTAGGAAGAAAATCCAGAGCTGGTATTGTGGCCTTACAAAGAAACTTTTTTTTTTTTTTGCGGTTGCATTTATTTATATCAATATTTAGAGAGGAAATTTGAAAGTTATACAAATGAAATTTTTTATGATTAAATTTATCATTAAAAACTTATTTGGGTATTTAAATAAGTCTTTCAAGATAATTAATATGCTAATCCCAAGTACCTTCTTTTCACAAATAAGGATCCTATTTAATAAGAGCCTTTTTAATATAAACAGATGAAATTGAATCTACTTTTCTTACTCTGAATATTATTATTTTTTCTTTTTTTTTTTAATTTTTTATTGTTGGTTGTTCAAAACATTACATAGTTCTTGATATATCATATTTCACACTTTGATTCAAGTGGGTTATGAACTCCCATTTTTACCCCATATACAGATTGCAGAATCACATCAGTTACACATCCATTGATTTACATATTGCCATACTAGTGTCTGTTGTGTTCTGCTGCCTTTCCTATCCTCTACTATCCCCTCTCCCCTCCCCTCCCCTCCCCTCTTCTCTCTCTACCCCCTCTACTGTCATTCATTTCTCCCCCTTGTATTATTTTTCCCTTTCCCCTCACTTCCTCTTGTATGTACTTTTGTATAACCCTGAGGGTCTCCTTCCATTGCCATGCAATTTCCCTTCTCTCTCCCTTTCCCTCCCACCTCTCATCCCTGTTTAATGTTAATCTTCTTCTCATGCTCTTCGACCCTACTCTGTTCTTAGTTACTCTCCTTATATCAAAGAAGACATTTGGCATTTGTTTTTTAGGGATTGGCTAGCTTCACTTAGCATAATCTGCTCTAATGCCATCCATTTCCCTGTAAATTCTATGATTTTGTCATTTTTTAATGCAGAGTAATACTCCATTGTGTATAAATGCCACATTTTTTTTATCCATTCATCCATTGAAGGGCATCTAGGTTGGTTCCACAGTCTAGCTATTGTGAATTGTGCTGCTATGAACATCGATGTAGCAGTGTCCCTGTAGCATGCTCTTTTTAGGTCTTTAGGGAATAGACCGAGAAGGGGAATAGCTGGGTCAAATGGTGGCTCCATTCCCAGCTTTCCAAGAAATCTCCATACTGCTTTCCAAATTGGCTGCACCAATTTGCAGTCCCACCAGCAATGTACAAGTGTACCCTTTTCCCCACATCCTCGCCAGCATTTGTTGTTGTTTGACTTCATAATGGCTGCCAATCTTACTGGAGTGAGATGGTATCTTAGGGTGGTTTTGATTTGCATTTCTCTGACTGCTAGAGATGGTGAGCATTTTTTCATGTACTTGTTGGTTGACTGTATGTCCTCCTCTGAGAAGTGTCTGTTCAGGTCCTTGGCCCATTTGTTGATTGGGTTGTTTGTTCTCTTATTGTCTAATTTTTTGAGTTCTTTGTATACTCTGGATATTAGGGCTCTATCTGAAGTGTGAGGAGTAAAGATTTGTTCCCAGGGTGTAGGCTCCCTATTTACCTCTCTTATTGTTTCTTTTGCTGAGAAAAAACTTTTTAGTTTGAGTAAGTCCCATTTGTTGATTCTAGTTATTAACTTTTGTGCTATGAGTGTCCTATTGAGGAATTTGGAGCCCGACCCCACAGTATGTAGATCGTAGCCAACTTTTTCTTCTATCAGAAGGCATGTCTCTGATTTGATATCAAGCTCCTTGATCCATTTTGAATTAACTTTTGTGCATGGCGAGAGAAAGGGATTCAGTTTCATTTTGTTGCATATGGATTTCCAGTTTTCCCAGCACCATTTGTTGAAGATGCTATCCTTCCTCCATTGCATGCTTTTAGCCCCTTTATCAAATATAAGATAGTTGTAGTTTTGTGGATTGGTTTCTGTGTCCTCTATTCTGTACCATTGGTCCACCCGCCTGTTTTGGTACCAGTACCATGCTGTTTTTGTTACTATTGCTCTGTAGTATAGTTTGAAGTCTGGTATCGCTATACCGCCTGATTCACACTTCCTGCTTAGCATTGTTTTTGCTATTCTGGGTCTTTTATTTTTCCATATGAATTTCATGATTGCTTTCTCTATTTCTACAAGAAATGCCGTTGGGATTTTGATTGGCATTGCATTAAACCTATAGAGAACTTTTGGTAATATCGCCATTTTGATGATGTTAGTTCTGCCTATCCATGAACAGGGTATATTTTTCCATCTTCTAAGATCTTCTTCTATTTCTCTCTTTAGGGTTCTGTAGTTTTCATTGTATAAGTCTTTCACCTCTACAAAGAAACTTTATGAAGAAGTTCCATTGTGTTTGACTACTATCCACAGGGGTACCTCCTAACTCACACATGGCTCCCCTCCCAGCACTCTTTCTGGCTTCAAGGTGTTGGGAAGCAGAAGAATTTGTTTTAATCCACTTTCATTCAATCACCAGTCCTCATACTGGGAGAAGCCCTGTAGGATTAGGGAAGTGACCTTCAACCAAGGAATCCATCCAAGGCAACTAGCATGACAGATGGTTGTCTCCTTGACATCCATCTCTCCTTTCTTCCTAGTAATAGCAATGTGTCCAAGTAAAGAACAACATTTCCTAGTTAAAGGAGGGAGCAGTTCATATCCTGGAATAAAGACATAATAGTTGGCATCTTAGCAGTCATTACTGAGTTAGGAGGTACCCTTGCGGGTAGTAGTCAAACACAATGGACCTTCTTCATAAAATTTCTTTATAAGGCCACAATACTAGCTCAGGATTTCCTACTTTCAGAGTCCCTTTATGTCACAGAAGAAATCCTTGTGTGTTTGAACAGTAACAGCCAGATCTGTTTCTTGTAGTACAAATTAGTCCTTACTGAATTATTAACCCTGGTAGTGATCAAAAACTACATACACTTCTGCCACATGCTTCATTGTAGAGTAATAGACCAAAGACTCAGTATTATTTTAAATCCTTTGGAGTTTGATGCATGGGACAATAATATAAATGATCCAAACAATAAGAAGAAAAGGGTTTTGCTCTCATTATATTTAGTCATAAAATAAAAACCTGTTAGAACTGGAAAAGTACCTTAGAAATCCTTAATCTATCTTTCCACCTCATTATTCATTTTATAGATGAGAAACCAGAAATTCGGTGTTTAATCCAGCAAAGATACTCAACAACTAAGCCAGGGGATATGAACACAAATCTTCCAAACACCATGGCTATTTTTTTCTTCTGGTTCTATAAATGGGACATAATCTTTACATAATCATCAAAGAAACAGGAAACTTGCACACATTTGAGTACTGTTCATCGGAATACTCTTGGGGTACCTTCTAAAACAGAGCTGCCCAACATGCAGTTGCTCAATTTACAGATGGAATAATCTGAGCTCACACCATAGTGCTCATCCCACACTCCAACATCACGTAATAGTCCCTACCCAGTGTCCAAAGCCCTTTGTTGTCTTACTTTTGGTTTTCAGTGCCAGTTCTTGTTAGCTGAAGGCAAATTACCTACGAGCCTAGCAAAGAAAGGGGCCCATTTGGCAACTATTCATCCTCCTCAGATTTGTGTTCTGGGAAGACATTTTAATTAAGCAGTGGGAGAGCTACTACATTTAGAAGCAGCTCCTAATGGGAAGCAGGGAATTTCAGGACCAACTGAAGTTCTTGGTGCTTGTGTGGCTTTACCATTTAAAAGACAGCCAGTGAATTCTTCTCTAGCACTCCTTTAGTACTGCAGGCTTTGTAAGATTCAGAACGGTCGACTGGTTTCTTAAGGCTCATTCCTCAGTTCTCCTTGCACCTCAGTGCATGCTTTGCAGACAGAACACAGGTCCTTTGATTATTGTCTAATTAACTCAAGCTGTGTACCATGTAAATGGTCACTGTTTTGATTATTACCTTTGGTTTTTCCAAAAATGCTAAGAGACAATTCCTTTGGAGGGATTTTTCCATTCATGAATATTAAGTGAGTTTTATTTCATACAAGCAAAGGAATAAACCAATAATCAATGTAACGCTCTATATTTGTTATCTGCTTGCTCTCGAAACAACTGAGCAGTATCTGAGTTGAGCTTCATTGTCTATTTGACAGAGGGAGATGTCACCTGGTTTGTGAAGGGCACAGCCAGGACTCCAAGCTAGAAGCCAGATAATATTATAGTATTGTTCAAATGAGAAACAAACAGTTTTCATCTTCTCGTCCTCCAATTTGTGTCAAACACTTAGCAGTTATTAATAATACCTTGTGAATGAGCATCTTTTGAAAAGAAGTTGCCCAGTTTAGATACAGAGTGGGAAATGGCATGCTAAAAGAACACCAGACTAGAAGTTAGGACTGGAGTTCTGCTCTCAGCCCTACAATTGCCACCTGCTGTGACCTTGAGCAAGGCCCAACACATCACTGATCTCACCTACAACACATTGTCTTAACATCAGAAGGATTTCATAATTCTCACTGTATAAAGCAAATAATAGCAGAGCACCCCAGTGCAGAAGGGGCCAAAGGGTCCAGTGCCTAAAACCCCTGAGTCTTGCTCCTCCCTGGGGATCAATAATGCCTAAAGCCCCCTGTATAAGCTTAGGGCACTGATCCACATAACTGTATATTCCCTTTCAAAAGTTGTGTCTTAACAGTTAGTTATTCCCTGTATCCTAGGCTTAACCAAAAGGAGAGAAAAATGGAAAATGGAGAGATATATGGAGAACTCAAGCAACAACCCATTATTTATCATCCCTTAAACCTTGTTTTGGCTCAGAAGACACCAGGCAAAGCAGAAACTTGTTACATTTCAGCAACAATATTTCTTCAGTGCCCATCTAGGAGCATCCACCCAAAGTGACTGACAGCTGACAGTGAATGTCTATTTTCATTTTATTGGCTTATAGGAAGAGAGAACTTCATGAGCCATTTGGGGAAGTAGAGAATATTATCTGAAGGACCACAATTCCCAGAACCTGTTTATCAGTGAGGAGAAGAGAATGAGGTAAGTAGAAAATGTCCCCAGTAAAACCTCATTATAAACAAGGAAAGTACCAAGGAAAATTAAAAATAGACCCATGTTGCATTAATGTCCATGCTCATTAGAATGACTGCCTTTCTCAGGTTGAAGGATTCTCAGACATTATTACATAATTTTAAAAAATGTTTTTCATTTTTAAAAAATGTGGTAAAAAACAAATTTGTAACCCAACTTGTGACTTACCTGCTGCTCTGACCTGCTCTATGAATCTGTTGAGTTCATGCTGAGACTTCTTCAAAATAGTACTGACTGCTGCCCTATGCAAATGTGGCAAGGACTAACAAACTGTCATTCAAAAAGAATCCAGGCCTCCTTGAATGAGGTAGAAAGGACAAAGTATTATTGCTGACACAGTTAGAAACAGTGTCAATGGTTTCTCCATTTATAGAAGGCAGGAGAAAAGCCTTTTTAGGAAAGAGGATGGGCTGGTCCTGCAGCCAGAGATGGAAGTAGAGACGGCAGTGGGTGGGTTCAGGAAGCACATAGAGGTGTATAAGTGTGTGAATTTCAGACATGCTCCTATTTTTAATGTTGGCTATATCGGTATTTTAGTCTGTGTACCTTATTGGGATATGGTGAAGATAAAAGCATAGATACAACATTTGCATCTCAAATCACAAACTACCCAAAGATTTTACTTTTCTAACAGCCTGCTAGCTAATACTTTTCAATTTGTAACCAAGCAAATTGTAAATAGTTTCACTGAGATTAAAATATTTTACTCATTTAAAATACTTCCAAAGAAGAAAAGATTATTAAACAAATCAATATTTTTATGAATCTTAATGACTCAAAACTGTGTTTTTTGGGGGAAGAAATTATTCTCTCCCATCAGAACTCAGTGTTAAATATTCCTTTTTACAATCTGTACCGGTGAGTCCCAAACTCTTTAATCATCAGAGTTCCTAAGGCACTTTCCAAAAACATGGAAATATTGGCCTTACTTATGGATATTCTGATCCACTGGAAAGTTGGAATCTATATTTTCAAAAAGGTCAGATAATTGCCTTTATTACTTTTATTTTGGAGATGAGTAAATTAATATTCAGTAAATAAATTGCAGTAAACAAAGCATATTAATGTTAAACCTTAGTAATAGGGGAAACTAGGTGCAGGATATATAGGAGCTATTAATTTTTGCATTTTTCTTTTTTTTTCTTTCTTTCTTTTTTTTTTTTTTGGCAAAATTGCTGGCCAGTTTTGAGCTACAGGAACGATCCCATGCACTCAGGTTACTTCCTTATTCACTTCTCTTTGAACTTGGATTTTTGAACAATTCAAAAGAGGAGAAGAATTCTTTCCACATTACTGGCATTACATTTTTGTGGCATATACTATTTTCAACATTCTAACCATATGACAAGTAATTCCTAGCCATGCCATCACAGAAGAAAATACCAACATCCTGTGGCTTTCCCCAACTCTTACGTGCTTAAGAATGTTAAATCCTTCACTCAGGACAACTGGGTACGGGTTATCTTTTCTTAGTGGTTGCTTTCTTACCACGCATTAAATATATCAGAGCCTGGAGAGAATAGATGTAGATATGAAGAGTGTAGGCAAGAAGAGGTTAAAAAAGAAAGGAATCTACACATCAAGGAGAGAAAATTCTTTTAGCTTCCTCTAAAAATATTTATCCTTCATGTAGAGAGACACTTTAAAAAATCTTTCTATTAGCATAGCATAAGTAAAAAATAAATTCAAAGGTAAGAAAATAAGAAAGGCCAAGAATCCTAGAAAAAAAATAGTTATTATATGATGGATATGGTTGGCCACATACTGATGCCATATTGATATACCTCTTTAAGAGAAGATTAATCATAATAAAATAGATGGTTAGTAAATGCCATTATAAAATACCTTCTTCTACATAGATTTGGTCCATTTTGGATCAAATCCTATTCTTTTTTTTTTTTTTTAAATACAATTCAGCTTTTTGTTTTTAAAGAGAGCGAGAGAGAGAAAATTTTTTAATGTTTATTTTTCAGTTTTCGGCGGACACAACATCTTTGTTTGTATGTGGTGCTGAGGATGGAACCCGGGCCGCACGCATGCCAGGCGAGCGCGCTACCGCTTGAGCCACATCCCCAGCCCAAATCCTATTCTTTATGTGCTGTGATGCAGAAGGTTTTATGTTGTCTGTCCTCCAACACCAGTGCCATTGAAATTTTTTGTGGATGTCTGTGAGTTGATTTGCACAGCATCTATTTTCCATTTTTCTGGTAATAGCACTCAAATATTTTTAGGGGAACTTTTGGAGGACCCTTTCACTCTCAATCCATGTGCTTTAGATGGGTCATCACACTTTAGCCCCAGGGGTAGCATGTGTCCTTGCCCCAGCCAGCCAGCACATCCCACTCTTCTAGCTCAGGGTTTGATTCAGTGAGGGCTTCATGACTGATTTAACATCTATGAGGTCAACTGAGAACCCAAGAGAAATGGTTTCCTTCTCCTAAATATGGAATTTGGGCAATCTATGCTTGACAGCAACAGTGACCACCACCAGGGATGGTCAGCCTGACATCAAATCCAACAGGGGGTGGCAAAGCTGAGAAAGAGTGTAAGAAAGACAACATTTTTAAGCTCCTATATATCCATTGACATAAAGGACCCTAGTCTTTTCAGTTATTAGAACCAATAAATTTCCCTTTCCTTTAAGCCTGCTTAAATTGGGGTTTCTGTCATTTGGAACCAGAAGAATCTTGACTAATAACATGTTTAACAAGTTATTTGTCTATCATGTAAAACTATATTTTAAAGGAAAAAAAAAGTAGATCTCTTGGATGGCATGAACATCTTTGCAAAATAACTCTTCCAGCATCTCAGAATTAGATCAAAGAATTTATCTACTGAGCTCATTTCGGTAGCCATTCCCAATATCAGTGGCTTACCGTGTACCAGGCACATGCTTAGGGACGAACTTAAATTTCTCTCATTCCAGCCTCACAATCAGAATCTCTGTATTATAGATGAGGAAACTGAGGCCAAGAGTCAGAATTTGAGCCTGAGTCTGTCTCTGTTCAAAATCCATGGCCTCAATCCACTCTCCTTCTGGATAGAGTGTGTGTTTTTGTTTTTTGTTTTGTTTTGAACCTAGGGCCTCCTGCACTGAAGTCAAGCACTCTGCCACTGAGCTATGTTCCCAGCCCCCTTTAATTTTTCTTTTGAAACAGGCTCTCACTAAGTTATCCATGTGGGCCTTGAACTTGCAATCCTCCTGCCTCAGCTTCTAGAATAGCTGGGATTATAGACGTGGGCCACCCTGCCCAGATATATATTATGTTTTATTCTGGAATCTTATAAAAATTCATATTGGAAACATATAGTTTGGTTGTCAGTTTAATAATAACTTTTTAAAATTTAGATTTAAAAAACAAGTAGAAATACTCAGAAGGAATTAATTGATCCTTAAAATTATATATCAGTGTCAAGTAAACTCAATCCCCTGCTCTCCCTTTCCTGTCCCTGGCTGTGGCTGCTCCCTTCTCAACCTTGCCTAGCCTGCTTGTGGACTCAGCCCCCCTCATCAGGCACTAAGCACCACACATGCAGTCTGTCCTAGGGCAGGTTATTATAGCACATGGTTTTTAGCTAGCATGGTTCTTTTTAATTTCTTCAGCCACCCCTATCCCTGGAAAGCTCTTTCTGGTTATGTTGCATTAAGTCTGTACATCCCAGCCTTCTCCTCAAGTTCTAAGCCTCCCGAATCTCCCAGCCCTTGGGTTATTTTGAAAAACCAAAAAATTCCCAATATTTGAATAGTTTAGACCTATCTCAGTTTTTCCCATTCAGAGCAACTCAGGGCTTTAACAAAATATTCACAATACTTTCTCAAACAAAATGATCCTTCTAGTGGATTTCTAGCCTTAGTAATATGGAAATCCAGAAGAATCTTGGAATGATTTTTTGCTGTCTTATAATTGTAGTAGTACTAAGAGTAAGTGATATTTTATCTGTCTCAAAATAAAAAATTAAAAGGGCTGGAGATGTAGCTCAGTGATAAGGCACCCCTGGGTTCAATTCCCAGCACCAAAAAATAATTAATTATTTAAAAAGTAAGTGATATTCTGAGAGTTTGCCTAGATTTTTCATAGTACTTATTGCAGTCGAGAACATACAGTAAGAAGTTAATGAACGGTTGTTAATGGACTATCCACTCAATATCCAGCTTCTTGGAAACTGCTCTCTGGGGAATGTGATTTGGAGATCAGCTAAGTTAAATATTGTAGTTTATTTAAAGTTCTGAGAGATGTAAGCTTAGTGTCTTAAAGAATACTGACAACTTGAGGCAATCCAAACGATAAATCCCCCGAGACTAAGCAAAGTTCAACCCCGTCTTCACCAAAGAGGTGCAGGCTGTGGATCCTCATTCCTACTGAGCATCCATGTTTTGTGAAGTTTTTTTTGAAAAGATCCTGATCCTCACTGAATTTTCTAGTAGCATTTTACAGTTCAAATGTTGACAAAGAAAGAGATATTTACAAGTGTGCTTATTTCTTTTTGTGGGAAATGGACATATAGTATCTTCTCTCTAGCTGTTGAGACAGGGCCATTTGAAGAGAAACCAGACTTTGATTGCTTAGTGCTTTGGGTTCTTGGGTAAAATATATTTTTAGATATTATCATTAATAATTTATGAATGAGAAACCTTTACCAGACCTAAGAGATTCAATATTTTTGTTTGTAACATATCTTTGCATTTTTTTCAATGCCCTTCAAATGCAGGTCTACCTTGAATTTATTTTGAATGATTATTAGAAATGATCAATGACATCCTAGTGCTCCATGAAAAAGGTCGATGGTAGTACCCCAGCTGTAGTCTGTGTCTGCCTCACCAGGCCTCATCTGGATGCTTCTACTCACTATATAATGGCCTTTTTAACTAACTGTATTAGATTTTTAACATGTGGGTATATATTAATACACTTGACATCTTTTTGTCTTTCATTTAAATTATTTTATCAGGTGATGGGGAAAAGAAAGAACTAATTTGTCTTACTAGTGTCTGTGATGGTGATGGAAATTCATGAACAAAGTGATTTACTCTGCTGTTGATACAGCCAGATGCCTTACCTCTAGATCTGAAGGTAAAATAAAAGACTTCTCTCCCTCCCTGTGAGCTTTAAAAAATCAGAAACGACTTTTCTTTCCTGGAGTGTGATGCCTTTGTAGATGTGACTTCACGCTTTCTGAGAGCGACGGCTTTTTGGAGGTGGTTAGAATCATCTGGAAACTTTTTCAAATACATGTAGAGTCACACGCACCTCACTCCCTTGGTAGAATGCCAAGTCCTACCACCTGGACATCTTTCAGATAAATAAGGCCAGCTGAGCTGACAGAATGCTGGGGGCATTCTCTGCCCTGTGTTGTGATGGGAAGGGTTAGACATGGGAGGAGGGGGCTGGTCCTGCAGGGAAACCATATCTGCAGGAAGATGCTGTAGAACAAGGCTTCACTTGGCTTCTTTCATTTCCCTCAAAAAGAACCTTACCAGCTTTCTGCCCAGTTTATTTGACCAGTAGTAATAACATCAATAATAATAACAAATTCTGCTTCACCACTGGTTATGGGGAAGGAGAAGAAAAAAAAAGTTAAAAAAGAACATTTCTAGAGAGGAGGAGCTTGATAATCCTGGGACCAAGGATTTCTGGCATGGCTTTTTTGATGTTTTTGGCTTATGAATCCTAAGAAAGTCAAACCCTTTGGGCGAGTAGCTTAATTGCTTGGTGTCCTAGTTTTCTTTTTTATAAATGGGGATGATCAGATAAGTGGTTGTACTACGCTTATGCTGTTGTAGGAAAAAATGGTGCAATAAAAACAAACTAAGGATGCCTGCTGAAGTTTTCTGAGTGCTTGCTATGACCAGGTAATGTTTTCAACAATCAACACGTTTAAGTTGACTTAACTCTCACAGCATAAAATGAAAGAGTACCCAGAAGGTTCCAGGCAGGTCAGGGTGTATGCCAAGTGCTCTTTAATTGTTAGCAGTTGTTCTGGAAAATGCGGAATAATAATCTCTATAGTTAAACCCATTCTTCATTCAGACGGATAGTTAGGTTTTCTTGCCATTGTCATTCTCATAAACAGGGCTTCGTGAACATCCCTGTAGGTTTCTCCTTTGTGCATGTGCAAGGATTTGGGGGTGGGGGTAGGAGGCTTGCGAGATCAGGGATGTCTACAAGCACTTGGCTGTCCTGTATTCAGCCTATTTCCTTCCTTCTTAAAAAAAAAAAAATCCATAGAATATTTTCCTTAACCTTTGAAGAGAGGTATAAAATTTTTTTTTAAATTAAAGATTCCTTTCTTTAAATATTGGTTTGCATTACGGTGTGCTGCACTAAGCAACGTGTGACAGCAGAAGGGCTACTAGCAATTCACTTATTAATTTGCCAATCTGAATTAGAAGCTAAGTTTGATAAAGTATTGACCAAATAGAGAAAATCAATTTGGGAAATTTATAGAAGGTACTGATGACTAGTTTCGCTGCCTAATTTTTGTTGGTTTTGTTTACTGTTAAATTGTTATTGTTTTTGTCTGTCTGCTTCAGAGATGGACATTGATTGCTGGCCTGACGAGACAATCTTCTTTATTTTGAGCTAAAGGACAGTACTCTGGGTTTTGTGGCACATCCTGGTGAGCTATGCCAACTACTGTCCGACCACTCTTGCACTCTGTTAAAAATAACAAAACCAAAAACATGCTGGAGAGTTTAACAGGGCAGGTCCTGTCAACCCTGGACACCAGGGAGAATTAAACCCCAAGCTGGGGATGTGGCTCAGTGATAGAATGCTTGCCTAGCATATGTAACATTCTAAGTTCAATCCGCAGCACCAAAACAAAAATGAAACAAACAAACAAACAAATAAACAAAAAAACCCAGACCATGTCCCTGATTGTCTATTACCCTGGATCTCTTGATTTGCTATGTTCATTGATTTGCTATTTGCTATGTTTTGTGCTTCTTGGATATATTGTGCCCTTGAATATTTCAGTAGCATGAAAAAGATTGTCCAAGGAGCCAGTCCTGGAGACGATATGCCTTAAAGACTAAAATATTGACAACAGAGCAGATTATAAAAATCTCTCCCTGTATAGTTGGTACTACCCAGGTGAATCAAAATGTGGCCATGTTTGGGGGAACCTTCTACCCCAGTGTAATTTTTTGGAGGCTATAGATTGGATTATATATAGATTGTCACACTTTGCTTAGTGCAACACACTGTAATCCAGCTCAGTGATAGAACATTAGCCTAGCATATTTGAGGTCCTGGGTCTGATCCCCAGTACTAAAGAAAAGAGAAAAAAAACAGAGGCTGGGGAGGCTGAGGTGAGAGGATCACATGTTCAAGGCCATCATAGACAATTTAGGGAGACCTTGTCTCAAAATAAAAAATGAAAAGGACTGGGGATGTATATCAGTGGTAGAACCCCCTGGGGTCAGTCCCCAGTTTCACATAAAAAAAAAAAGAATGAAAGAAATAAGGAGAGTCTTGTGAACTATAGCATGCTTCTTTTAAAAGCAAGCATGCAATGTTGGTTTTTTTTTGGTTTGTTTGTTTTTTTTGTAGCGGGCTGGGGACCAGGGATTGAACTCAGGGACACTCAACCATGAAACCACATCCCCAGCTCTATTTTGTATTTAGAGACAGGGTCGCACTGAGTTGCTTAGTGCCTCACTTTTGCTGAAGCTGGCTTTGAACTTGCAATCCTCCTGCCTCAGCCTTCTCAACTGCTGGGATTACAGGCATGCACTACGCCACCAGGCCAATGGTTTTTAATTTTAGTTTGCATTCCCCTGGCATTAGTAAAGAATTTATTCATACTGTTCATTTGTACTTCTTCTTTGTTGTTTGTTCAGGCTCTTTGACCATTTTTAAAACTGGAATGGTTAATGTGACACTGATTTCTAGAAACTGTGGATAGTTATATTTGTTGAATGTGTTGCAAATTCTTTTCTTTCTAGTTTGTTGTTTGTCTACAAACTTTATTTATGGTTTCTTTTTTTCTCCAGGCTGACCTGGAGCTCCTGGATTCAAGGGATTCTTCTGCCTTAGTCTCCCAAGTATCTGGGACTGTAGGTAGGTGCCAAAGCACCCCACAGGTTACTGAATTTTACCAGGTGATTTTTGTAGTAGCTATTGAGACTTACTGTGAAGTTTTCTTTATTAATATGCTAATTAATGAATTACAATGATGAATTTTACTAATGATGAACAAATTCAACCAAATCTAGTTAATCATGTTTTGTATTTTAATACATGGCTGGATCAAATTCATAAATACTTTAATTAGAATGTCTGAATATATATATGACCATAACTGAGACAGCCTTGATGTTGAATTGCTTGTCTTTTTACCATTCTCTTTTGCTTTTTGCTTATTCATTTGGATACTATAATTGCTCTGGCTTGAATATCAAGGTTATGTTCATTTCATAGAAAGTATATTTCTTTTTATGCCCTTGGATATTTTAGTAGTATAAAAATTATCCACTTATTGAAGATCTAAATGAAGTTTATTAAAGCTATATGAGCTTGGTGCTTTTTTTAAACATAGATGCCTATATTATTTATCTATTACTATGCAAGAAATCTTCCCTAAACTTGATGGCCTAAATAAAAAATAACCAATTTTACTTCACTGATTTTGATTTGCGGATAAGGAATTTGTGAGCAACTTAAGTAGGGGGTTCCAGCTCGAAGTCTTTCATGAGGTTGCAGTTACATACTGGCAAGGGCTGGAGATAGTCAAGGCTTTATTGGAGGTGCAGGATCCACCTTTGACTTGTCTCACTAACATGATGGGCAAGATGGTGCTGGTTGTTGGCCATGGACTGTATTCTTCTCCTCCTGGGCCTTCCACAGAAGGATTCGATTGTCCTCACAGCCTGGTGGCTGATATCCCCCAGAGAAAAAAATAAAAGAGAGCAAAATAGAAGATGCAACTGCAACGTCTTTTATTGACCTAGCTTTGGAAGTCACATGCTGTCACTTCTATTGGTCACACTGGGCCAACCCTGATCTTCCCTGATTCAGGAAGGGACTGGACAAGGGCATGATACAAGGAGACAAGGATTATTTGAGACCATCTTGTAGGCTGGCTTCCATACGCTCTCTGAAACTTCTCCATCATTTAATGATTATTGCTCTTGTTAGGTTTTACCTCTTTTGAATCCCTTTAGTACTTTATAGTTTTCAGGAGATCTACCCTGTCCTATAGTTAAATATTCTACAAGATTTTATCAGAAAGTCCTTTCTCTCTCCAAGCATACATAAAAAAAAAAAAAAAAAAATTCCCTCTAAACTTTCAGAACTTTCATGGTTTTATTCTAATTACATTATTTTTTCAAAATTTAAATATTTGATATAATTGGCTTGTATCTTTTTTGTGTGTGTTAGATATGCATTCAACTTCATTTTTTTATAGATGGCTACTTAGTTGTTCCAATACAGCTAAATGAATAAGTGCATCTTTCTACAGCTGATATTACCTATATCATATATAATAAATTTTGATAAGTAATTGGTATTATTTCTAGTCTTTATTATTTTTGTCCAATACACTATTAAATAACAATAATAAGCCCAGGAGTTTAAAACAAACTCCTTAGTTTTTCCCATTGAAAATTATATTGGTATTTGGTCTCAGACAAACATAACAAGGAATTATTTTTTTATTTCTCTTATTGAGAGTTTCCCTTTTATTATTTAGGATATTTGTTAAATTTTGTCATAGGTCTTTTCATGATTATATGTTACACAATAAATACTACTGGATTTTCAAGAGTTGAACCATCTATATTTTCATGGGGGAAAACCTTCAGAGTTACAAATTGCCATTGGATTCTGCTTGTTAATAGTTATTTAGTATTGACAGTAATTGAAAGACTAGCTTATATCTTTTTTTAGTAGGTGTTGTCAGATATATATTTTATATTTCCTTCATAAAGATAATTTGGAAGTGCTTCTTCTTTTTCTCCTTTCCTCCCCCCAACCTCCTCCTCCTCCTCCTCCCCCATCTTCTTTTTTTTCTACAGAATAGTTTAAACAACATTGAATTATCTACTTTTTAAAAAAATTG